TCAAAAAGATGAGAACAGTAGCTACAGACCTCAAACAAATAGTACTTGCGAGAGGAATAATAAAACAATAGCCGAGACACTTCGTACATACATCGCCGCAAACCAATTAGATTGGCCGGATAAATTGTCCAGTATTGCTCATGCAATGAACACAAGCGTATGTACAGAATCTACACAGTATACCCCGTATTACATGGTGTTTAGTAGAGAATGCAGAACACCGATTGATACAGTTTTGACAGCACCCACAAATGTTGGACCAGACGCAAGACTGTTCATCGATGGACTACATAGGAATGTCTTATTAGCCAGAGAGATAGCTAAAGAAAATTCACTGGAAGCACAGCAGAAATACAAGGCACAGCATGATAAAAATGCGAGAGAGGCAATTTTTAAAATTAGAGATAAAGTTTGGATGGATACAAAGACTATGCCAGTTGGATATTCAAGAAAACTTTGTAATAAATGGCAAGGTCCATATTACATAACTGAGGTAACCGGAAAGAATACATACAAATTACGGCGCTGTTCAGACGATGTACCAATCAAAGGACCCGTCAACGCAAACAGGTTGAAACAGTATCACGATCCCCAAGATAGGCCTACAAACAATGTAGACATCCCAACTGACGATGAAATGTCCGAAGATGAAGAGGATGAAGAGGAAAATGCCCAAGATGCCGACGAAATTGTTGAAACCGATACACAGCCAGAGAACCAAGTACAACGAAATACCGATGATATCCGAATTAACGATGATCCAGATCTGTTTCAAGTAGAACGGATAATTCACGCAAAACGTATAAACAAAAAAATGCATTACAAAATAAAATGGTTAGGGTTTAGTCACAGAGACAATACATGGGAACCGGAAGAAAATATTCCCCAAGAATTAAGACATGATTATAAAGTTCGCAAGGATCAGACTAAACGTATAAAAGCACGTAAAACAAAGAGATAGAAATGACCCCCCCCCCCTTTATTCTTCTGTAGAATTACACATTACAATTACACATCATTTTTCAAATTAAATAGCAAAAGTTAACTTACATACTATGTACAACCCCGTGTTTTTTACATCGCAATTTGATAGATAGTAACATAATCAATTACTTCATATACAAAATGAGTCTTATTTTTTTTCTTAAACGGTAATGTTAGTATAACAATATTCCGTCTCATATTGGGTTGTCATAGTATATTTGTCGTAAGTTTGGAACTCGTGTTTTACACAAGTTAATGGTCGTATTATAAGACAAACATCAGTGACAATTCATACATCAAGTAACAGCAATAACAAAATTGGTGTTATTTTCACGTTCTAACAATGGTATAACGGGTACAGTCGTACCAAATGTTTGGCATTTCTTTCGACCCCTTTCGATCATGGCTTGGACTCGTCACCCAATTCATGTTCAAAGGAGTTTCAATATAGGAGTGACGATCCTATGCTGAAACGACAAAACCTTGAAAAATCATTTTAACTGCTTTTGCATTTAAAGAAACCATTGTTAAACATGTATTTTACTTCAAAACATGCATTTTTTTTAAACAACACCACAACACAATGTCATTTGCATTTATCATAATATAAGTAGGAATTGCTTTATTTAGACAAAATAGTATCTTAAAAATTCCATTAGAACCTGTTTTGTTTTAAAAAAATACACAGCACGTTTACAACCAGAAAGATTTTTACACTTGAATTTTATACGTATTTCGTTCTTATGTCTTATTTTCTCAATTTGAAGTTCAACAGTTTGACCCCCCCCCCCCCTTATTTTTTCCCAACATTTTATATCCGTAGCCTAGTTACCATAATATTTTTAGATGAGTATGTTGAGATTTTATTTAATTGCAAATATATATTTTTAGCTTTACAATCAGTATTGCGATGTTCCATACAATGCCTTTTCAAGTATCGAAATGATCTACACTTTTCGTTTTTTGTTTAAAATAGATATCAGGTATAAGCGACATTTTGATAAATGGTTACATTCACATAGATGTGTTCGATGTATTAGTACAAAGACGTGTACATACATATGCATATAGTGCTACAGAACTAGTTCGGACAAATGTTCCTGAAACTTAAAATATGTAGTAACAAAGTTCAGATTGAAGAGAATCTCCGTGATATTCTTAGTGTTCATTCCAGGTAGAAATAGAGTTGGTGATGAAAACAGATTTATTTGACAAAACAATGACTTAATGCAATGACAATGTTTATATACATATTACTGATTTGTTTTATATTCCCATATAGATTCAAGTATCGAATTTCTGTGAAAGAGACACAGTGTTCATTTGTTATTTGCATGGTGGCAAATATTACAGACTGTTCGTTTTATACATATTGATTCGTGATTTATTCGTGTTGGTATTTAGACACACTTAGATTTAATTACATGTACTTTAAAGAAATTTTGAGAGAGAGAATTTGACGACAAATGTTAGTAATAGCGCGCTTGTAAATAATGAAAATAAATTTTGCTCTTTTTAATTTCTCCTCTATGCATTTTGAAATATTATTCGTTCATAATTTACACATGCTGATACGGGAGTATCAGATAAGGAGCGACGGGGTAATATGACCCGACAATTGTTCGTTCAAAGTTCACATTTAGGATTTTGTATATTTTTATAAATGTTAGCTTTTTATTATTATTCCGAGTCCTCATTGCGTTTTAATAATTTATTAGTTTATTGTATTTTACGCTATTCAAAAGTTACTTGTATTTTACACTTAACTATAATCCTTTCATTCAGATTAATTATCAAAGATTTATATCCGTCTTTAAGATAAAAGGTTCTGTAACAAAGAACATAGATAATTTGACACTAAGTGATAACTGCCGAAAGCCATTCTTGACAAACTTATACGAAGCATGTTTTTAATCCGTAATCCCCGCTTTCGGCAAAACGCGAATTAATATTATTTAATGAAAAGATATTTGATTGGTTGATATTCCGCATGTCAATCAGTCTTTTGAATTTGTATTTTAGATTTGTTTTTATGTTGTTATGCAGTTATGTTTTATTGTTTGAATTATGTGGATGCTAAATAAATATGAAAACTTTCCAGCGACTTGGACTTTATCTGAGCTACCGCTAGTTTCCCCCGAAACATAATTAATATGACAGAGGTGACCAACAACCTGGGTATACCTTCATGTTACCATAGTTAAGCGTCGTCATGTGATCCACCGGCACAGACCGAAATTATAAAACTATTGTCGAAAAAGGTTGTTTTATTTTTGTTTAATTGTTAGGGATCAGTCCTTTTTTATCATCTGAGGGGTGTCGGTGCATTTCAGAAAGGGGGGGGGGGGGGGTGGGGGGTCATTACCAAAAATATCATAGCACTGGGGGTCACAAGTATATAAATTCTGAACGACGTTGCAGTGAGTTCAATTAGTTTAATAAATAGAATCTGTCATTATCATTTTTTTTAATAAATCGTTGTCAAATCCTAGCACCCCAACTCCATAGATCACAAGGTGTTTGAACATCTATTTATACCAATTAGAATCACTAATTGACCATGGTCATGTCCATCGTCAGGAGCCCAAGCCATTGCATGGTGACACTTATTCTTTTAAGTACTGTAATATTTATAAGGAGGGGCCCTTTTAAAGATTTGTGACAATGGATAGTAATACAAATTCAAATGATTCTAATTCCGAATTGAAAGGACTAGTAGTAAATATTGATAATCTGATAACTTTCTGATAAATTATGAATTAATTTAAAAACAATTTTGTTTATACACAAAATGAAATGAACATGAGACGAATTTGCACCATACTGTTCATAGATATAAGGGAAATCAACATGATATGCTTTTATCAATTAATGCTACATATTGTTTTCTACTTTTCATTGTAATTTTGCGATGTATTTGGATAACTCTTGTATATAATAGTTACACTTATGTTAAATTGTTACAAATGCACCGATTTATTCAGTTATTTTTAAGTAAATATATAAATAATTCTTTTTTTCTATTTTTGTGCGATTTGATGAAAATGTTATAATAATTCGTTATTATATACATGTATACTAATATCATACCACTGAAGGGGTAGGGGGAGGGGGGGGGGGGTCTTCAAAGAGGTTATATTACTGGGGGCACAAGATGAAAGTTTTTATTTCTGACAAGTATATAAATTCTTAACGAAATTGCAGTGAGTTCAATTAATTATCCAGCAAATACGTTTAACCTCGCTGCATATAAACTAAATGTACCTGTCTTAAGTCAGGCCTGAGCCTGTAATTTTAGTGGTTGTCGCTTGTTACTGAGTATACTATTTGTTTTTCGTTTTTCGTTTATTGTTTTTATATTTAAATCTGGCCGTTGGTTTGTCCCTTCTGAATTGTTTCTCATTAGTATTTTTGGGGGCCATGTATAGCTTACATTGCGGTGTGTGTCAAGGCTCTACATTGGAGGCCACACTGTGACCTATATATAATTGTTTATGTTCACTGCTTTGTGTTTATATTAATACATGAAATGCACCACCCCTGTATTACTTAGATGCCTTTAATACTGACATCACCAAGAAACACACCATGTCAATATCCATACGTATATGTATATTCATCACTTGGTTTGCAAGTATATATCTAAAGTCTGTTATTGTCTACAATACATTCACAGCTGTTTGTCAAGTCAAATGCTTGTAATTATGTAGCTGTCATCACTCTCTCACAACTATACTGTTTAATTGTAGGGATGTTGGGGGAGGGGGTCATTATGAGGTTCATGAGAATGATTGGTGGAGGGGGGTCATTATGAGGTTCATGAGAATGATGGGGGGGGGGGGGGGGTTATAGGGTTTTTTTGTGTGTGAAAAATTTGAACCGACCCCCTCAGCTGATAAATAATGACCATTCCCTTATAAATATTTAGCTTCAGATTCAGATTTTGAACCCATATCATGTATGTTTAAATTAATGTACAGTATTATTTTATTTAAGAAGATCAATATTTGTTTCAGAATGTAGACCATGTACAGACGAGGAACTTGTAGAAGCATACTGTTCCCATTCAGATGTCGGTAAGTGTGAGTAAGCAGCAGTAAAAACTTCAAACAACTGTCTCTAGAAAACCCTAGTGTTTCCTTCATTTGATATTTAGCTTTTAGAAATGTATTTTTTTCTAACTCGTCACTAAGTTGAATAGCTGTAAAGTAACATAAGTTTTGAGATTTATCAGTGAGAGTATAACGTCTGTGTATACACAGATTGGGCTTCATTTCACTTCATCGAGTATATAAGACGTATGTTTGTATTTTTTTGCAGATTCAGCCTTTTAAAGTTTATTTGAGTTTAAAGAAATAAAAAAAAAAACCCATCAAATTGTATACAAATAGAACCACATGTCATATATAACTTGTGAATACATGGCAATATGTTATATCCTGAGCTAATAAATGTAAAAACAAAAATCGAGATATAAAATAAATATTTTCTGGACTGGATTATAAAAATTATTTCAAATGAGAATAATAGGGATGCATACATTAACGGCTTAACAGATATCTATTGTACGGTGCTCCATCAACAAATTTGATCGATTTGAGAACACGTAATAGTTTTGCTCTCGATGAAAATATGGTAAATTTCAGGTAAAGATTTGGTCTTACTAAAATAAAGAAATAATATGACGATTTTCCTATGGTTTGCAAATGAATTTAGCCATGTGTTATTCCGTTAACTTGGCATCATTCTTCGTGGATACTCAAGGTATAGTTTTCATGTTCATAAATCAGAAGCTATATGGAACTTAATTTGATGTATGTAATCTTTAATTAGACGAATTTTTACGACACTTGACAACCTAGCTACTACTAGTCGCTTGTGTAGGCGATGGCAAAGAAGTGATTTTACAGTGTGATCTGTCTACCACTTTGTTTAGTCAATACTATTGACAACAAGGTCATTATTTATACGACTGCACACACATTGTGGTCGTATAATGGTGTCGCGATGTCGTCGTCGTCGTTTGTAGACATTTGGATTCCAGACATAACTTGAGTTTACGTGAGTTCGATCTCTGCAGTCGTAATAAACTACGCCCGCGAAGCATTTTATTATGACTTCCTTTGGGACCAATTCACTAAATTCAATTTTATTTAACCATTTTAACATGTTATTTTTACCGTCCTGAACATGTTTGTAATATTTGCTGCCTGACATTAGACATGCAAGGCCTTTAGTAAAGTCAAATTCTATAACTCGTTTGTCTGTAAGAAGATGAGCAAATCGTCTCGAATTAACCCATGAATTCGATAAAAACATTTGAAAATCATGTTAGTTTTGGGGATATAAAAAATAACGTCCAGTATTTTTAGCTCACCTGGCCCAATAGGGCCAAGTGAGCTTTTCTCATCACTTGGCGTCCGTCGTCTTGGCCTAAATCATCCTTAGGGTATCTAGTTTAAAAAATGTATCCGATGACCCTGCCCATCAACCAAGATGGCCGCCATGGCTAAAAATAGAATATGGGGGTAAAATGCAGTTTTTGGCTTATATCTCTGAAACTAAAGCATTTAGAGCAAATCTGACGGTGAAAAATGTTCATCAGGTGAAGATCTATCTGTCCTGAAATTTTCAGACGCATCAGACAACTCGTTGTTGGGTTGCTGCCCCTGAATTGGTAATTTTAAGGAAATGTTGCAGTTTTTTGTTATTATCTTGAACATTGTAATAGATAGAGAAAAACTGTAAACAGCAAAATTGTTCAAGAAAGTAAGAGCTACAAATAAGTCAACATGACCAAAATTGTCAATTGACCCCATAAGGAGTTATTGCCCTTTAAAGTAATTATTCACAATTTTTTGTAATTTTTTGTAATCTTTTACAAAAATCTTCTCCTCTGAAACTGCTAAGCCAAATTAATCCAAATTTGGCTTTAATCATCCTAAGGGTATGTAGTTTAAAAAATGTATCCGATGACCCTGCCTATCAACCAAGATGGCCGCCATGGCTAAAAATGAAACATGGGGTAAAATGCAGTTTGGCTTATATCTCTGAAACTAAAGCATTTAGAGCAAATCTGACAATGGGTTTAAATGTTCATTAGGTCAAGATCTATCTGCCCTAAAATTTTCACACACATCAGACAACCTGTTGTTGGGTTGCTGCCCCTGAATTGGTAATTTTCAGGAAATGTTGTAGTTTTTGGTTATTATCTTGAATGTTATAATAGATAGAGATAAACTGTAAACAGCAAAAATGTTCAGCAAAGTAAGCTCTACAAATAAGCCAAATGATCAAATTGCGTTTTGTCATTAATGATAGAAAATTATAATAGATAAAAATACACTTTAAATCACAAAATGATCAGCAAGTCAAGATCTACTAACAATTCAAATTTTGCCGATATAGTTAAGTAGACTGACTCTTTATAGGAGTGATTGCCCTTAAATGAGGATTTTGTTTATCCTCTTTTGTGTTTTGAGCAAAAACTAAAGAAGTTAGAGAGAAACTAAACAGGCTAAATTATAAGCAATACAAGATCATCTAAACTGATTTTTGTCATGAATTATAATCTTGTCTACAATGTTGGAGAGTGTCCGTTGTTGAATATGCACATAGATCAAGGTGAGCGACACATGCTCTTTAGAGCCTCTAGTTTTTTTTTGTGATCTGTATCAATGTAAATAACGATTAACATCCAAATGTTTTTTCTATTACAGTGATTGTAGGCTCCATGACGGACGTTAAGCATGTACAAGATCAAACACATATTTACATTCAGATTTCGAAAGTAATCCGTAACAGGCAGCTTTTGATAGAGGGGCATAGAAGAAGAATTGGACCATATATTGAAGAAACAATGGTAAGACATAGACAGTGTGGTGTCGAACATGGATCAGGATTATTTTTATTCACCGGAAAATGGAGATTAGGGCAACTCACACTGACTTGTTCTCCGTACTATAGTGACTGGACCTTAGTATCGAAACGAGCAGTATTAGAAGGAAAGATAGACTATACAAATGTATGCTAGCAACTCTCGAGGCAAATATTTTATACAGTTTTGTGCCTCGAAAGTAGCTAGCACACAATTGTATAGTCCATCGTAAAAATAGAATAAATCCGAAATGCAGTCATAAAAGATATTACAAAGGCTGCGTACTGGATGTGTAGAAAGTGCTACCAAAATAATAGTACATTTAATTCTGAATGTGTATAATTGCTTCCTTCAATAAATTAACAAATAATGTTTGGCGAGTTTTATATTATTCTCATAGACAGAGTGATAATCTGAATGATTTTTGTAAGCTACTAGTCATGATGAGGTCATGACACACCCGTCAGTTGGCGGGAAAGAATGTAGTTATTGTGTCTATAGGATGCAAGTTGCTTTATTGAAAAGGGGTTAAAGAACTGTTTGTGTCATGTTTAGCAAGTGTTTATGACCCATTTCATTGTAAAAGAATTTACGTTACGTTCTTGCTTATACTTTATGAATATGTTTCATGTATATCATCTATGTTTAATAGTGACATCATACCTGTATATGCTCTGGTTGCTTGCTTCATGTTAAATGGCACAGTACTGATGAGTTAAACCTACTTTAAATGAGTTTTAAATGTTTGTTCTTCTGTTGTGCTGTAACACCACTGTCCCAGGTTAGAAGAGAAAGGGGGGGGGGGGGGGGGTAGTCAAGAATAACCTCGCTGCATATATACAATATGTACCTGTCCTAAGTCAGGAGCCTGCAATTTTAGTGGTTGTCGCTTATTGCTATGTGTAACATTCGTTTTTTATTTATTGTTTGTTTTGTTATAAATGTCGTGTACATGTTCTTCTTTTGTACAAGTTAAGCAATGGACAGTTGTCTACAATATGTCAAGATAGTATGAACATGCTTTGTTTGTAGAAGTCAAAGTTATTTCAATGGCAAATCGTTTACGTTAAAAAATCTTTTAATTAATATCGAACCTCGTTGCGTCGAAGTCGAAGGGACCGGGCGAAAGTATTCGACTTATCTGATATCCTACTCAACCGAGGTTGAGTGTGACGTCATGAAATTGTAAATACATGAAATTCAAAATTATATAAACTAAGTGGTAAAAGCAGTGTTTAAAATCTTTGACGCAATATAATACATTCCTTATTCCCTTTTGGGGCTGGTCACATTGTCCTCTTGAGAGGAAGCTTTTCATATCAATAGTGGAAATACAAAAAGGAAAAAGAATTGTCAGCTAAATCATGAATAACATTTTTTTAAACTTAATTTTGGTCAGGATGGTGGATCAAATATGATCACAATCAAGCCCCAGGTCAAAGAAGTTTTAGTATCAAGCAAGGTGAATATTTGTTAGAAATTGTAGATAGATCTGTTCAATTACACGGTAGTAGTAATTTAATAGAATATATATAGATATATGTTTATCAAACTGTATTCCTAATTTTACTATAGGTTTTTCCTTGAAAAATTTACAACAGTTTGATTCAGATGTAAAAAGATGTAGAGACAGCAAAATGGGATTTCTGAACTCATTAATTACACTGTTTCAGCTTGAAAAAGATTTTGTGAAATTTGCTTTGCCTAGAAAAAATAAATCTTGCCGTTAGTTTTTCCCGTCTGAATTGTTTCACATTAGTATTTTTGGGAGCCATTTATAGCTTACATTGCGGTGTGAGTCAGGGCTCCACATTAAAGGCCGCACTGTGACCTATACTAGTAATTGTTTATGTTCACTGCTTTCGGTCTTAGATGGAGAGTTGTCTCATTGGCAATCAAACCACATCTTTTTGTGTTTATATTAAAGGAAAAAAGGGCATTTTATAGTTCAATTAAAGAAAGAAGTAACAAGGGAAGAAAAAAATATAAGTCTGTTGTTGAGCCTGATATTAATGTCATATCACTAATTCTTTTAATGAGAAAGATATGTGTGTACTAATTGCAATTTGTTTTCATCATTTTAATATGATACAATAAATGTTTTCATGTTTTTGTTGTTCGAATTTATATTTTCTGTGAGATAGATTACAAAGGCATGTCCAAACAGGAGTAATATAAAGTAGTAATTGCATACGCTGTTAATGTTATTGAGGAAGAAGTACTTAAATAACATGCAGCATCCAGCAATACAAAGACATCCACACTGTTAATGATCTAACTTACATACTAAGTATATTGCAAGCAAAAATTTTGTAGAAAGTGTAATGATTTAAATGTTTGCTGAGTAAGAATTTACTCGTTACATTAGTGTAGTGTGTCAACTAGCAGTGAGGCAAAACCTGTTTAGCTTGTTTAAGGTGTCATTGTTACCTTTCAAACCATCCTTGGCATAATTGGTTTTTATGTAGAAGTTAGATAGTACTATGATGTAAGATGGTATATCTATGCAAACATCGGTGGTGTAATTGTTGATTACGTTTGGGTGTATGCAGATTGAAGTGATCTGCACTTGAGGTACGGTTGATATGTGGCTCAAGAAGATGTAGACTACTTAAAGATTTGATAGTAATACAGATTTATATTGATTAAGTTTTAGTTTATGTAAAGAGAACTGATCTGCACTTGAGGTACTGTTGATGTGTTCATTAATTAGACATAGACCACTGAAAAGTTTGATTGTAATTCAGATTAATGTTGATTAAGTTTGGGTGTATGTAGATTGAAATGATCTGCACTTGAGGTACGGTTGACGTGTTCCTCAAGTAGACATAGACTACTGAAAGGTTTGATGGTAGTACAGATTAATGTAGATGTAGGTTGGGTGTATGTAGATTGAAATGATCTGCACTAAAGGTACGGTTGATGTGTTCCTCAATTAGACATAGACTACTGAAAGGTTTGATGGTAATACAGATTAATGTTGATTAAGTTTGGGTATATGTTGATTGAACTGATCTGTACTTGAGGTACGGTTGAAGTGTCCTTAAGTAGACATAAAAAAAAATACGTGTCCACCCGACATTCTTTCGGTAAGCTTTGCCAGCTCCGTACGGCAAAGCTTGCCACTGGACATGGCTCTAATGAAAGGTAATAACTTTTGGGAAGGCCACACTGAATTTGTTTTTTGGAGTTAGGCCCATTCGGGAATTGTTGAGGTTCAAAGTTGCTATTTTAAAAAAAAATACATGCTCACCCTACATTCTTTCGGTAAGCCTTGCCAGCTCCGTTCGGCAAAGTTTGCCACAGGGCATGGCTCAAATGAAAGATAATAACTTGGGGGAGGCCCCACTGAAATGTCTTTTTCGGAGTTAGGCCCACTAGGGAATTGTTGGGGTTCAAAGTTGCTATTTTTAAAAAAAAATACGTGTACACCCTACATTCTTTCGGTAAGCCTCGCTAGCTCTATACGGCAAAATTCGCAACCGGGTATGGCTCAAATGAAAGGTAATAACTTTTGGGAAGGCCACACTGAATTTGTTTTTTGGAGTTAGGCCCATTCGGGAATTGTTGGGGTTCAAAGTTGCTATTTTAACAAAAATACATGTACACCCTACATTCTTTCGGTAAGCGTCGCCAGCTCCATATGGCAAAGTTCGCCACCGGTTATGGCTCAAAAGAAAGGTAATAACTTAAGGGAGGCCCAATGAAATGTTATTATGAAAGTTCGGCCCATTCGGGAATTTTTGGCGTTCAAAGTTGCTATTTAAAAAAAAAAAAATACGTGTACACCCTACATTCTTTCGGTAAGCATCGCCAGCTCCGTACGGCGAAATGTGCCACAGGGTATAGCTTAAATGAAAGGTAATAATTTGGGGAGGCCCCACTGAAATGTTTGTTTGGGAATTAGGCCCATTCGGGAATTGTTGGGGTTCAAAGCTGATGTAAAAAAAAAATACATGTACACCCTACATTCTTTCGGTAAGCCTCGCCTCCTCTGTACGGAAAAATTTGCCACTGGACATGGCTCTAATGAAAGGTAATAACTTGGGGGAGGCCCCAATGAAATGTTTTTTTTTGGAGTTAGGCCCTTTCGGGAATTGTTGGGATTTAAAGTTGCTATTTAAAAAAAATACGTGTACACCCTACATTCTTTCGGTAAGCATCGCTAGCTCCATACGGAAAAGTTTGCCACTGGACATGGCTCAAAAGAAAGGTAACAAATTGGGAAAGGACCCACTGAAACGTTTTTTTTGGGGGGAATTAAGCCCGTTCGGGAATTGTTAGGGTTCAAAGTTGATGTTAAGACACTATTGACTATATTCGTAGACAACGAAAATCAAAGGAAGATAACTGTGTTCTCGGACCAATATTGACTATGGTTACCTCTGGTCACCTTACACCGCTATTCATATATTGACTTAGGTTACCTCTGGTCACCTTGGACACATATTCACTATGTTGACCTCTGGTCACCTTACAATAATGCTCACATAACACAATCATTCACATTTGGTTACTTCTGGTCATCAAACAAATATATTGATGTTAGTTTCCTTGGGTCATCTTACACAGATATTGACTAAAATTTCCTCTGGTCACCTTACACAGATATAAACGTCGGTTTTGTCTAGCCACCTTATCAACAAATATGTTTATTTTGTTTACCTCTGATTTCCTAATAAATGTATTTGTTTTTGTTACCTCTAATCACCTAACACTCATATTGACGTTGGTAACCCTGGTCACCTTACATCAACATGTACTTTGGTTACCTCCGGTCACCTTGGACATCTCTTGACTATGTTGACCTCTGGTCACCTTACAATCATGTCCTGGGCACATTACACACGTATTTAATTGAGTTAACTCTGGTCACCTAACACATATATTTACGTTGGTAACCTCGGGTCATTTCAACTAATAGGCCAGAGAACACAGTTATTTCGTAGTGCATTTCTTTTAGACAATAAATGGAAATTAAAAAAGATCCCAACTGCGCTTTCTCAATAATATTTTTACAGTGTGGTGTACTACTTTTGGGACAAATTATAGCAAAATTATAGAAAACTCAAAATATGGACAATTTCATGTTAAAGGGGTTTGAATTCTTTTGACAGCATCCGAGATACTAATTTTTAACCTTTTTTAGTTGGACCAAATCACTACCTTACTTTAAAATTCTTGACCCAAATATTTTTAGAGTGTAGTTTCACCCCCTGCTTGCTATTTGAAGCATAAACATGAAGAAATAAATTTGGAAAGGGTATAAAAAAAAATAGCAAGGAACACACTGTCCACACTAGGGACTAGATAACTGTGTTCCCGGACCAATATTGACTATGGTTACCTCTGGACACCTTACACCGCTATTAAT